AGAATCTGTTTACCTGGGCAAGAATAGAGAAACCCTATTCCATTCTTTGGTCGAGGTCATGGGCAGCAGACATGGGTTTGGAGAGAGAGACGAAGACCAAAGCAAGCAGAGCATGCAGAGAGGTTGCGGAAGTCAAAAGCGGGAGCTGATGAGCAACGACACACTGCGCGGTTTCATGGCATTTTTTAACCAGAGATCACGCAGCTCGGCCAATCAGTAGGCTCTGCGAGTGTTAAAAGTTGGCCAATGATTTTTAAACCTAAGCACCTTTCCTTTTGTACTTCACTTTTTGAGTGGTGATTTCCCACTCTTTTTTATCCTATTTTATCCACTTACACTCCTTTTTTATAACTAAAAAAAGAGTGTAAGTGGATAACATAGGAGTGGGGAAATCATTGCCCTACTTTTTAAGAGGCAAAAAAAAAACAGAATAATGAGTGATGGGTGATGATGGCCAATGATATTTATAAAGTTTTTTTTATTTTTTATTTTTTATTATCTAATTCAAGTGGCTAATTCATTCTTATGTGTCCACTGAAACATGAATATTGGAATTATTTCAATTTCTAATATATTTTTCTATATTTATTTACACATAAGTATTAGTATTTTAAAATTTATGCTATTTTTACTTTAAAATTTATAATCCAATACCCTGAAAAATCATGAATTAAATTGATCAATGAGCAGTTGATTTCATTTTCATTCATCTCTTTTAATTTCTATAATTTATGACTTCCTCCACTCCTAATAACTAAACATGTTTTAAAAAAAAAAAAATGTTAAATGTCAGCGTACCAAATAGGTGAGTTCAATTTAATTGAATTTGAATAAATTTCCATTATGTTGGTGAAATATTGGATAATCGAACCATATAGCATGCTGCATATGTTTTTTCTTTCACAATCAGATTTATGTAAATGTGTAGCACGACGTGAGCATGCACATCATCTAATGAAATCCTCACAGATTTTGTGTGATCAAATCATACCAAGTTCTTCTTTTTTCCCAAATCTCCTAGATCCGGCTTGGCATGTGCTAACATGTTTAAATTGATCGAATCTAATTTGATTTTGCCTACTTGATTTACTCCATGGTTTTCTTGTCCATCTTCAAGATTTGACTTTATTTTTTTAAATTCAACCATCCAAATCTTGGATTGTTTATATTTTAGTCCTATGACCTAGTATTAAATATGCGTCAAAGGCAAAAAAATCTTGCTCAAACACTTTTTTTTAAATACAAGTAATAATCTAAACTATAAAGGGAGGGAGATTTCTCACACAAATATTATCAAGATATCATGAGATTCGAACCTAAAACTACTGATCTATACAAGTCAACCGCTTATTCTAGATAGAACTTATTGAATATCAGATTTAAAAATAAATAATGCAAATGACTTTTAGGTAGGTGGAGATAAATTTAATAGTTCAACCCCGTGATTCCGTGAGTGTGAACTATGACTTTTTCCGAGTAAACTACCAGGAAACATCCCTACTAGCCCGAGTTTTCAAAACACATCTTCATCTCTATATATGCTTCTGTATTCCAAATTACTTGTCCGACAAGTATTATTAGCTTACTTGACCTTAATTGATCGAGTTTATTAGTCTCCTGTTTGGTAAATAATTTTTCTTGTTTGGTTGAATAATATATTAATCATTCAACTTAGCAATTAAGCTTTCTCTCTGTTGGTCTCTTTTTCTTTATAAATATATACGTATTAATTCAAGATTCAAACTTCAAAAGCTAGCTATGGGCTATAGCTGAGGAGATGGTACAAAATTAGGAAACAAAAAAATTGTTGATACTGTCAAGGAGTAGAGAATCTTGAAGATAATTTCGTCCCATGTGCAGTGTGCACCGGAAGCAATGTTATAGTGTTATATCAACAAGCAGATGCATGTCCAACATCAACATCAACATCAAATTAACAGTAACATGCATGCTTCATAAAATACAAATTATACAATCTCATCATGTCATGGTGGGTTGGGTTCGGTTGCATTTCCATTTTCCCTCTTTTCTCAAACTTGAAATGATGATCAGAAAAATGAGATATGTATGACAGTTGAAGAATAAGGGAGTAGTAAGTCGTCGTTCCTGTAAATCGTGGTTTGACATAAGTGCAAAAATAATTTATCAAAAAATGAAATAAAAAATTTCTACACGCATATCAAATAAATAAGTCATACTAAATTAATTCGTGGTCGATGCATATTCCAAATAAATTTGATGTTCGAAATTGCACCCCTTGTTTTTTTTCAAGGCCGTTCTCAACTCTCCCACCTTCAAATTTTATCGTCTAGTTTCTTGTGTTGGACTGCCTTTATGAGAATCCTGTTTTAAAATGGAAATAATATCCAAACACCCTTTCTCGTGTCTCCTCCCAATTCCCAAAAGCAGGCTAATCATGTTTTGTCTAGACCCCACTACTTGTATTTATCCATTGAATGTAATCAAGTTTTGAGTCATTGGTGTCGCCATTAGTCTTTGTCTTTTCTCAGCTCAAAAAATATTCTGGGGCCTGATCATTTTCTAGCCTATAATTTCTTTCTTTATTTCCTCCCCTATGTTTTGATTTTTCTTTCTCTTTTTTACTTTTTCTTTTTCTTGATTTAAAGGTTTCAAGCACTTTGTTAATTGGAACAAATCAAAAGTACCTATTCATTGTAATGTGGAAAAACTTTTACAATTCCTTGTCTTATCCTAATTTTCAGATACGTACAAATCTCGGTACCATGTATTATATCGCTTTTACTTTAAATTAAGCGCGGGAATAAAACTTTTTTCTAATCCGCGTGAGAATAATTCCTTGTTAAACTATTGGCTCAAATGTCGTTGTGGTACTTGTTAAACTATTGGCTCCATTGACATCCCATATGTTGAACTTGACACATTCTCTTGGGCTTTTTTCGGTCAATATATTTCCTCGGGCTTGATACTTTTGTCCACAAGGTCAAAAAGGTCTTAAGACTTATTATATTAGAAACTCTAGTTGGATTAGGCAACTAGAACTTGGGAGAAAAGTCCAGACCAAGAAAAAAAGAACTTGGGCTAAAGTCAAGCCAACCTATATCATGCACAAGGCAGGCCATGGTCCGTAGCTATACTTAGGCTCAAATCTATAAGCCCCTCAACCCAAGTAATTGTTTTTTACTCAGAAAATGGACCTAGCATATTAAAAAGTATATATATAATATATACTAGTTTCTCTACACGCGCCTCATAGAGGTTTTTTTCAAAAAAAAAATTTAATTTAGTTTAGAATTAAAAAAAGATAATGGTTAGTTGTGTTTCATAAAAATAGAGTGGTGATTTTCCTACTCCAATTTTATCCACTTACACTCCATTTTATAACTAAAAAAGAAGTGTAAGTGGATAAAATTGAAGTGAGGAAATAATTACCCTAAAAATAAGATCCATTATCTGATTTTTCTTTTAATTTTAATTTTTTTAATATGAAAAAATAAATTTACCGTATTATTCTCGTTTAATTAATAATTTCAATTCTTAATGTTTGCATTAAACAAGCGCAGTTTTCGTGTAGCTAGCGTCCATGATGGTGACCTACCCCAAAAGCGGCCGTGCACGAGAGGCAATTGCGACCGGACACATTTTTCTCTAAATTATTTTATTTTTCAACTTTAAGAAACAACGAAGAAAAATGAAAATTATTATTAGCCATTTATAGTAAGGATATGACCAAAGAGAAAGCCCATTTATTAGTAGCCACCGAAACCTCTTTCACCGATATTATCCAATGTTGTCCCGTTTTCAATTAAGACCCTCTAAATTAGAGGAAAGGGATTGATCGATAGGTATGGGCATGGACTGTGGACGTAACAGTGACAATGTTTGTGGAAGGAAGGGAGGGGACCATATTTTCCCATTGTTTTTGAGTGACATATGAACGAACGAATGAATGAATGAAGAAACTTCAACAATCCAAACTTGATCTTGAAAGGCCTCTCTCGACTCAATTATTCACATGGCATTGGCATATATTATGTTAAGCCAAGCATATTCTCATGTTCTTCTCCCTGCGCTGCGTTGCCCGATCTGTCAACTTGTTCTTCTAACTTTATAGCTTTTCTAATGAAATAGACACCACCATGTCTATTAGCATAGAGGGGAAAACATAAAATAAACAAGAAGAAAGCTGCCAAAAGTTTAATAAAAGCGATACTGGGATGTGGGGAATGGAGCACATAACATCGAGTGTATGATTTGATGCTTTAATCACTCGAATTACAAATTATTTGTAAACCCGTTAAAGTTTTGGTTATATTTTATAAATTGTGTGGATTGAAAAAAAATCCGGATCAATCAATCCTATCCTGAAATAATAATAGAAAAGAATTCCTAATAAATCAAATCAAGATTAACCTGGTCGGCAAAGTGGATTGAAAGAAACCCTCATGATGCAAAAAGTGGTTTCAAATTAAAATTTGAAGACTTTTAATCATTGTTTTTCCGCATAGGTAAGCAAACTCCAATCTCAAGCCTATAATATTCTACTTCCAATTGATGCCAATCTGACTGCCGCTGGAAGTCCCACAATGACAACCAATGAGGTAATGCCATCTATAATATAATATTATACATGTGGATCTAATTCTAATCCCATAAGATTTCTAAGGGCATATTGGTCCATTAGCATTGAATGAATAGCATGGTTTACAGCAGGAAAAGAAAAAGAGTTCACACCATGTTTATAATATTCACAGTAAAATTTTGAATTGATGAAGGCCAAGTTGACCTTCAGATGATATTATCCATTCATAAGCAAAATGGAAAATTACAAGAATTGCATTGGCATTAATGCTAAATTTAACTAATGGAACATTACATTTATAAAAAAAAGGGAAACAAAAAGAGCTGCACAACCACCACCAGCTTCAATTTCCCTATATCTTCTTCTTCAACCACCCAAAACATACAGAAATTTTTATTTTTTATTTTTTAAAAAAAGATCAGGAAACACCAACAACTACTTTGGGTTTCAAAAGAATTCTGTCAGCAATCTCTCTTCTTATTCAGTCAACCATTTACAGGGGCCAGCCTCCCCTAGCAGGGAAAGTACCGTGGCCGAGAGCAACAGACCGATATTACATAAACTTTCTTCAACTTGTGCTTCTTGTCATACTTTTTACATCATTAACAAAGATACAAAAAGAAGAAAAAAAATCAGACACCTAGACATACCCCCTCTAAAAACCAATAAATCTATTTTTGTTCAACATGTGACCGCCTTTTTCGAGCTCTATTTCAGACGAGAAGGCAAGTCTCGGGCTGTTTGAGCTGTTGTTTGGCTTGCTGCTGGGACCAGTATGCATGGGCTGTTAGGACCCTGTCCAAGAGCTCTTGGGGGACAGGTTCTCCCCTCCTTTGTTGAGGAGATATTCTTGCCGTGTGTACGAGTGTTTTCCACTTATCCTATACACCCCAATGAAACAACACCATCAACAACCAAACCCACATCACATGCCTCATTTTTAAAGCCCACAAACAGAAAACACAAAAGGCAATATAGCAGCACAACTTATGTAGATAACGCAATGGTGGGCACTTGGTATTGTGAAACATGTTGAAGGGGTAGATTTAGAAGAAGCGTGTAATGTTAGAATATAAGAGATTCCTTGAGACAGTTGTATATAACAAATAAAGTTATGCAAACGAACAAAGCTATAAAGACTCTGTAATCATTTGCCTCTGTTACAAGCAACCAATTTGACAGACAGATAAAACTAAGTACGCTTGTGGGCCTTAGCCATAAAAAAGGACTTTCAAATGAGGAAACAAGCAAACAATTAAGTGAAAGTAAAACATCCTGTGAAATTCAAATTTGAAAAACTTTACCACCACTAGTTCTACAGGGATTCAATTAGGTAACAAATAAAACAATAAACCCAATTGCACTTGATTTATCATTGCCAAATAGACTCCTTACCTTCAAATCCACATATGTTCGATGCTTAGCATTATCAAAAGCTCGTAGCTTAACATCACGCCACCTGTAAATAACAAAAACTATTAAAAACTCCACATTGCAGTTAAAGGGGCTGTTTCCTCACCCACAAGGCAAGGCAGATATGCCTGATCAAAGTAGGGTTTAACTGAGCAAGTCATGGTGGACCAAATAAAACTTTCGAAAATGCTAAATCTAAAGTTATGCTCATGGGTCATTAAAGTACCTTCCAGTGCCAAGTTTCTCAACCGCTTGGACAAGTGCTTCCACTTCAGCAACAGAGAATGGTCGACGGATTCGGCGCTGCCCAATATCAAACCGCTTTGATTTCCTGTGCCCAGGAACCACAGCTAGTGCCTCTACACTCATATCTGGCACAGCAACCAGGGCTTTAGAATCTGTTGTGCTTTTCTCAGCAGACATATCAGTTGGAGAGGGTGCTGAATCATGATCACTTTCGATGAAGTTCCCTAAACTGGCCGTATGAGGCTCAGGTGAGGCTTCACTGGTAGGACCGGATGGATACCTGGTGCAAAATCATTATGAGCTCAATGGAAATCAACTTTCTAGTCTTGCTCTGAAAGCCAACCAAGGAGATTGAGCTGGCATCACAACTATATCAGACTAACATGCATAATCCAGTTCTTACATTATTAAATCTTCAATGAAAGCATTCTAGGACTCACAAAATTTTTAAAAATAAAAGAAAAAGGAGCACGGAAAAGAAGAAGCATCACCATACATAATCAACTAGCATAATGCATTACCTTGTTAAAGGCTGAAGTACATTGCAAGGAAGCATACGGGGAGAATCCCCAGAACATAGAGGTGGAGGGGTTTGGGAAGGGTTAGGCTCCAAGGTAAATCCCAAGGAATCTAGCTGGTTATCTTGAGAAATTCCTGTCTGCTGTAAAGTTTTATTGTCGTCTCTCACTTTCTTTCCCTGAAGAAGTACACCAACGCATACTCCACCTCCAAGTACTGCTGTCACTGCGTCCATAACCGTCTTCTGCAGAGCAATCACACATCATCAGAATCCAAACTAAGACCGTGTGAAAGGTGAGTAAGACGGACTGTTTCAGGTCAATTGCAACAGCTTGCTTTGAGGAAGACAAAATATGAACGCTCATGTATATGCATACTCATCTACACCAATACAGTATACTTCATAGCTGAAAATGAGGGAAAAGCACAATCAAAAGAAGTCCCAAAGTACCTTCAATGAACCAACAGTTGCAGTGTCCGGGATCTCTATGAATAGCTCGGGCACCCTAAAAGACTTGATCCTGAGCTTCACTGAGTAAAAGGAACCTCTTGGAATGTTAGACACCAATCAAGTAAAAATTGTACACATTAATCACTCTGTCAAAGTTTCTCATACCGTGAGAACTCCTTGATTGGAATGAAGAGTGTTGACCTGCTAGCGAAGAAGATTTCATAGCGGCTGCATAATTTTTTCAAACTGCTTAGTTAAAAACTGAAGTGCATACATCTCAAAACATTTGAGATGATCAAATTCAGATTGAATAGCATGTGGTTTGGAAAATGACCTCCTTGCATCTTTGAACATGAAGCATCTCCAGTGATTCCCTTACCACGGGAGTCAAAGAAGCCCTCTCTACTAATACCTTCATCAATATTCAGAACTGCATTACGGTCGAAAAGCTTCCTCTTCTTAAAAGGAATATTCATTTGAGATCTTTGACGTTTGTAACAATTCTTCCTATTGTGGTAATTTGGTTTCTGATCCCTATCTGAAGATTCCACAAAGAAAAATGCTATTAGAAAACAGATCACCATAATTATGCAGCATTGCTAATAAAACTTTACATGAAGCTCGAGAAACTCACACATTCTTTTAGTACAAGGCAGCCACTTACAGGAATTAGAATGTATATCATCCTTCAACTTCGGAGCCACTTTCCAATATTTCGAAGCCAATATTTTCCTTATTCGTCGGTCTCCAATACGCGATGGCGCTGGCCTTGAATACTTTATTGAGGTAACAGGGTGAGTACACCCAGAGGAGTTTTCGTCATCATCTCTACTAACTACTTTTACATCATCCCGGCTAGTGGGGAAAGATCTCTGAGGAATATGGTCTACATACATAGGCACCTTGGTACTACTATCTGAACTAACTAGTGCAGGAGGTTCCCCTTCCCAGACCACTGGATCCTCTAAACCGCACATACCAGGCCCGGTACCAATTAGCACCTTCGCACTCTTATTGGTCTCATCTTTTATTAATGTTTTAACTTCACCATCTAACTTAAATTCACCAGCCTCCCTGCAGCCAGAAGAGCCTGCTTCTATTTTGCTAGTAAAACTTCCCGTCTCATTCTTGCATTTTCCACTCACCAAAATATCAGAAGCAAACCTCTCCGAGCAATTGGAAGTTGTCATAACAGAACTTTCATTCTGATGAACAGGAGACTCCTTGGAGCACGAACTTTGATTCGGACCTTGTGAGATATGATCAGATACAGGGATTCTCCTATCACAGCTGCCTTGATCGCAAGGTTCCACTTTCAATGGTTTGTCACCATCCAGACAATTTTCCTTCGTACCTGCACACTGATCTTTTGACGTATGACTGGAAGCAGGAGAACTCTCTCCCTCGAGCAATAACTTGCCAGCTATGGTGGCCAACAAGTCAAAGGCACCCATTGAATTGTCGTCAACTCTCTTTCTAATTGCACCTCTCCTCTGGAAATCATTATGAAAATTAAACATTTGGATCATAAACATAAAATGCAAATCACAAAGAGTCGCTGGATATATATACCCTTGCTGATCTGGTAGCTCGAGGAGTGGCAGGCACCTGATAGCCATTAAATCCGTAGTCCAACCTCTTCTGCAACACCATATCTCAAAAATCATACCACGATGATTACATAAACCACAAAGAACGAGGAACAATTCCTTTCAACAAATATACACTTCACCAGCTGCCAACTCTCAGAATCCAAGAATATGAACTCCTGACAACAGATGAACGCAAGCAATTGTTGGATCACAGAAAAAAAAATCTCAGATAATTGACTATGTCATCCAACATTTAGTGAGAAACACAAGTTCCCAAATATTCCTCATAACACACTTTGCACAGGAAAGATAAACCCATCAATCACCAAATTGTTTATCGACGAAGGCAGCAAAAGAATCCAGGGAGATAACAGAAACATTATTAGCTAATAGCCATTGCATTTAGTTTCAAAGAAACCACAATTGGTCAACAAAAACTCCCAAAACATATAATGAAATATCAGTCATAAATTCATGCCAGTAACTCCCATCAGATCCACATGATCTGACTACACGGACATTAACATAGCAGCCCGGGAAAGAACAAGGCACCCAACCCACGTCGCACCCAACCAAAAACTAACGGAAAAATAGACTTGATAACATGAAAGACCTTCTACACAGTTTCTGCAAATTCAGACAGGAGTAGCATAATTTTCCATTTTTGACGGAGTAAAACAGAAGCGGGAAAAAGGGAAAAATATATAAAAATAATAAAAAAGGGCCTTAAACCACAGCAAAACCTTACATAAAAAACGCAAGATATAGATCTGAATAAAACTTCCGGCCATCAAAAAGGAAAATTGGGACCAACTGAGGCAATTTGATTCCCAGGGAACTATCCAAAAAACTTGAAAATCAAGAGGTCTTAAACCCTCAGCCAAGATCGACCTTGCAGAACACATAATTCAGATTGTGTGTCCGCAACAGACAAAAATAAACAGAAAAACTTCATTTTTCGAAGTTTTGAGAGAATTTAAAATTTTTTGAACCAAAATTACGATGGAAATAATGAATTACCACCAGAACACCCAGATCGAATCCATTGAACCCAAACTTCGGAAACAAAACAGATCATCCATGACAATCATTGAAAAAAAATCAACCCAGGTTTTTTTTAAAGACCCAATTGATTGCTCAGAATTTACGAGCGGAAAAACCCATAATTTGGAGCATAAAAGACTTTTGGGTTGAATTACACGTGAAAAAAACCCGAACAATTCTCTCCCCTTTCCCGCACTTTCTCATCAACCAAACGTACTGTTCAGGAAAGGCTCATCGAAACCGTAAAACCCACATCACATAAACGGAAGCTTTTGCAATTTTCACGAAACAAAACCACGAAAACACAACATGCTCACCTCTGCACAACGATTTTTCGCTAAAAGTTCAAAGCTTTACACCGAGAAATCAAATTCTGGAGAACTTTCAGGCGAATGCAAGATCGGTAATTGTCGGAGAATTCAAACAAGAATCTGGAATTTATCTTTCTATCACCACATCCACACTTTTTCCTCTCCCATTCTCTCTATCCCATATTTTCCCGGAATTTATTTTTAAAAAAATTCTTTTGCTTCAAACAAAACCCATTTTCTCTCTCAGAAAACAAAAACCAAAAACTCGTCTTTCTCTCTCCCTCTGATCGCCAAAACCCTCTGAAAACCACCAACCATTGCTTAAACCCCCGGCTCTTATACCATTGACTCCGCTTACCGAACCTATCGGTAATTCCTGTGGGCTTACCGGCTATAGTAGGTGTGTGGAAACCACTAAAAGGACCGGTTCTTCGCGCTTGGGTGACCCACTTTCCAAGCGCCTAGTGATCGTGACACGTGGAGGGCTCCGGGATTATGTGGCTGCTTGTGGTCCGCCTGATCGAAAAAAACGTTGGGTCACGAAGACAACGAGTCTATGTTTTTTATTTTATTTTTCGGTTATAATTTTGGTAGGCAGTCCGGGAAAAAATATTTGGTTGCCATATATATATGGGGTAATTTTTTGTCATCTCACATGAAAATTGAACAGATGGTGTTTGGTTACCAAGAAACAAGACACCAAATGGTATTAACAATTTACATTATTCTTCTTCTCTCTTTTTTCAAATGGGTTAACTACTTCCCAACTTGGGAATATTAACATTAATTGTGTGAGAAGTGTAATTTCTTAAGTGAACATTGTGGGAGATGAATGAAATCATTCAATTAAAACCTAACTTTAGTATCGAAAGGATTTTCGCAAGCTTCGCCCGAGTCGTTGGTCTTTAGGAATGTTTTGTTTGATAGTAGGATTTCTAAAAGAGATTCAATTTTTCAACATCAAACATATTTTACCATTTGTCAATTGCTTGTGTAACCGTAGACTAGATCGATTGAGATTACGAATTTTTAATAAAATGAATCGTGATTGATAAAGTCTTCTCAGTATTAATTAAATGTGATATGGAATTAACTATCCTTTAGCACAATGAATTCACTTTAAATCCTATGAAAATAGGTTATTAATAAATGTAGTACCAAACAAATCACGTGCAATTTGTGAGGGTGAATTTGTTCAAAGTGGACTATATAATGACTAAGATATTCTCCAAATGCGTCAAGAATTAGACCACTTTACAGTATAACAAAAAAAAAATTATAAGCTCTTTCAATATTGTGAGAGATAAATACCACTAACCTAAAAGCAAGTCGACGATAACAAAGAAGTATTATTATTTATTTTTTTATGGTAGCTAAAGTGAAAACATGGTTTCATTAGGCCAAAACTATAAGAAAGAAAATGATAACCAATTTTAACTGTGAAAATTGAGATAAATAAAACACGAATATTTACCACCACAAGTCATTCTTGGCCGTACTTACGAAGAGTAGCTGACTGTAAAAGGAAGAGGAGAAAAAAGGTAGAATTAAGCAGTTACCCAGTTACGTATCAAACTCAAAAAAGTTTCACGCGGGGTAGACCGTAGACAAGTAGAGATCTAGTCGTCCAGGACACCTCCCATTATTTTATGCCTTGCTTCCTTCCTTCTCTCTCCTCAGCGTCACCCTCAGATCTACAAATAGTACTTTTTTCTAACACGGATCCGATCGTCCCGACGGGGACAAACTCGTCATTTCAGACGTACGTCAATTGTTAAGTTTACCTTAAAACATTTTGTTGTATTCGTCCCAGCAGTTATCCCGATAAGCATGTTGCGCACCTTTTTCAGCGTTGCTCAAATTTATTTTAAAATATATATAAAATTAAAAAAAAAACAGAAGAAAAATAAATATTTATTTTATTTTATTTTATGTAATGTTTTGCTTTTTGTTTTTGGATTTAAGCGGGGGAGTGACGTAGGACGGAGATCGGAATCCGACGTGGCGAAAAGGGAGGTCCCAATTGGTCGCTTTTTGGTGAGTGTTGTTATTCTATCAGTAGAGGAGAAGGACGACAAGGAGCATGAGCATATGCAAATAAATTTTAAAATTTTCGAACCTGGTGGGGCCCGCGCGTGGGATGTGACGGGGAGGAATCTCCGTTAGAGATAACGGGAGGACGCGAGTGGTGGTGGGGAGCCGAGATAGCAAACGCCGTTTAATTCGGGGATAAAGCAGTGGTGGTGGTGGACCCCACTGCCACGTGTTTTTAATTTTTGATAAAAGCAGTGAGAAAGTTGGGGGGTGGGGGTGAGAGTTTGAAGAAGTTTGACGATTGAGAAAGAGGTCGT